GCATGCCCTCTATAAGACCATGTTTTAGCAATTTCAAATGTCTTTCCTCATACTAGAAACCTTGACATCACTCTTTGAAATTAGAACCATGATCTTTGACTCCGGTCACAAGATCAAACTCAGCCAAGCATAAACCACATTCGACAGTTGATAAGATTGGGATTGGCCTTCACCTGAGGAGTCTGCAGTCAACAGATCCTTCCTGTCAGATCAGTCCACCAGGGCGCTTTCTTTTCCCTTTGCTAAAATCCACCCCAGTGTCACAGCCAGTTCCAGCCTCTGGACAGTGTATGCACTGGGCATACCTGTGCCGGCTCTCCCCATCTCCTGACAGTAGCCTTCGCATCACAGCATGGGTCAAGTCATGAGATCTGACAGATGTGCCCTCCATACACCATCTCCCCTTCCCCTACTTTCACAGCCCCCTGTTTCCCCCTGCTGCCCAGCAACACCGTCTGACAGCTATCAATATGGATTCCAGCAGAGCTGCAGAGAGACTGCAGGATAAACACATAGTGAAAGAGACAAAAAGAGAGAAAATCAAAAGGCCATACAAGCTCGCCTATTATCCACCAGAACAGGAAATAATTTACCAGCAATTCGTACCTCGTTTTGGCTTCTTTTGTGAAGGGGAGCTATTTGTGTTCAATGAGTGGGAATTTTATTTTAAAAGTCATTTGAATGTGTCAAAAACTGGTTTGATAATCAACACTTTTCCCATCTTTGCAGGTCTTCTTTGTCGCTGTAAACATTTCAGATTCTTGTTCATATGATGTACAAAGAAAGATGATCATTTAAAGTGAGTGTAAATTGGAACAAGTTTATGTTTACAGAAGGGCTGAATGATTGATGGCCTGGGGAGAAAATATTTTTACTGTGATAAAACGTGCACAAAGAAAAATCTCCCAGCGCGCAGTTCAGACAGTATGCTGTTATTTGGAAAATTGTTAGGGAAAGGTGGCAAATAAATAAAAAACACGTTTACTTTATATTTCCTCTCTGAAATCCTTTATCTGAAGATAATCAATCACAGACATAACTGAAAGATTTTCTCATTGAACTGAAACTAAAAAATCCAGGGCCTAGATTCATTTTTATCAAAAGATTTCAGTGAGATTTTTCCTTTCTAGGTGACTTCAATCAAAAAGGCTGCAGTGAGGTTCACAATCAGTTGCAAGCTTGGCAGGACATCGTCAGCGTATTCTCACATATTCTTAGGTGTTTCAAAATATTTCTCTTTATTTTCTTCACACATTAGGTGTTTCATTTTCATCTCAAAATGCTCTCGTGCATACTGAAGTGTAAATAACTTTTGATTAAATTGTTTTCATCCTCACTTTTTTCAAGTCAAAATCCCTTCAAATGGTCCTTACATTTCGGAGGAAGCATTTGACCATGAATTGGAAGAACATGAACTTTTCTGAAGCAACAGAAAATAACTGGGAAAAATACTTAAAATGGCAATATTGTTTCTGAGTTGAGTGCAAGTTGTGCATCTGTTTTTTTTTTTTTTGCTTTGTTTTGTTTTGTTTATGGAGGTCCAATGAAATAGATGTACTTTTAAATCGATGAAAATTTGTTATGTTTCCTCAGACACTGAAAATGATTCAAACACTGTCTCACTGGTGAGAGAGAGAGTGACACTAAAGAAACCTCCAGAGTATGCCATAAAAGGTAGTAAAATAGGAATATATACAGTATTACTGATACTTTACGATTAAACTATAAGATTATTAAGTCCACAGGTGCATACTTTTACATTTTTACTTTCTGTAGTGTCATGTATTTAAGTATTTTCATTGGTATACCTGCAACCATAAATGCAAACCTTGCATCCCATATTTTAAGACTACACAGTGTAGCAAAACTACAATTGAAAAGTCTTTGAGCCGAATCCCTCAAAAACAACAAAACCCTCACAACAAACTATTTACAATAGTGAAAATTTGCTTTCTAATTGTTCATTTATTTTGTATTTACTTTATTTATTTATTTTTTTGGCTTTTTTCACAAGTTACAGTGTAGCTAGAAAATCTGCTATGTCTCTGTACACATCTCATTATAGTAGATGGAGAAATGCACATGAGTTGTAATTCTGGCAAAATAAAGAGGATTAGGTTGTTTTGGTTTCACAAATGTATGAGTAATGAATACATATGGGTAAAAAACAAACATTCTGAGCCATTTGCACCATCTCAATCAATTCCAGAGAAGTTTTCCATTGGCGTCAATACTTTGTAAAATTAAGAGGCAAATGCCAAATTTTCTCATGAAATATTAAATTGAGAGACTTTTAGATTGTAGTTTGTACCAGAGTTACCTTACATCCTGGCACGTTAGAAGCAGATTCCAGTGTTGTACAAGCATTTATGTCTTTTGTTCTGAGATATCAATCTGGAGTAGGAGGAGTTGGATGAATTCTACCTTCTGCTTGATGAGTGAGAACTTTTTCTGGTTTTAATAAAAAAACATTGTTTAACCTGTTTGAGTAAATTTGAGCAGATCAACAAATCTTGTAAAAAAATGAAGCTGTGCTGCATTTAAGAAAGAATCGACTGTGAAATACTAAGACGTCAGCTGTCACTTAATCCTCACCATTAGGAGGTCTAATCCAAAGGTACACAATCTAATATGAACTTTCTTTTCTTGAGCAATTTTGTTTTAATTTATGCCCAGCTAGTTAATATAAGAGAAGGAGAAACAAATAATGAGTGTCCAAGTTATAGCAACTCTTATCATTACGATACATCACAACTTTTTGAGAAAAAAAAATGAGAAGAAAAAATGGATGCAGCTAGATTAGCAGGAAGTTCAAGCAGTAGATAAGCAGTAATCAGAAGGTTCACGAAATAAAAACCTGGAGCAGGAGGTTTGGAGCAGAGAGCAGGGACTGAAGACTAAAGGTCCCTTTTGTGGCATGTACACAGAGAAGAAAACATCTGGTGGAACGGCTGTGCCCACCTTGTGCCCAGCAAACACTCAGCAAAAACACAACCCCACTATAGGCAAAACAAAAAGCTCTTCCTTCAGATGCATATGGACAAGTGATGTCCCATTCCAATTCTTTGAAGCTATAACTGTTTCAGATCTTATGGGACAGCTTTCCCAATGTTTATGAGCGCGTTTAAAAAGGTGTTAATGCACATGATGTCACAGTACACAAAAGTTGTCGGGTGAGGGGCAAAAAGAGTGTTAATTGACTGCTCATACCAATTTCTAAAGCCTCCAGGCATGCTATTGAACATTTCAACATCTTATGAAATGCAAAGAAAAAAAGACGCAATTTGAAGCTGGAATTTGGGAGTTGAAATTTGTGGTGACCATTTTGTGTCTCGTAAGTTTTGACTAAACGATTGCTAAGCATTTGGCATTTACCAATAAGTGCAATTTACTCCAAAATAAAACTCTTAAGTTATAACTTAAATTTGGGACAAAGAGTGATAAAAAAAGTACTCAGAGTTGAATCCACCTACTAGTTTTTTTTTTTTTTTTTTAAACTTTGCTATGCTTTAGAGTTAAATGCTATTTGTCAAAAATTAGTATACTTCAGAAGAATCCGTGGTTCAGTGCTTTTCCGTAATATACACAGCCATTTTACAGCTTGTTTTGCCACTCGGTTCTCAGTGATGGGGCATGGCCTGGTGTGAAAGCAATGCCACTGCTTACCCACTTTCATATCACTCGTAATTCGGACCCCCGAAAAGTGTATATACATCCAGGCTGAAGTATATGCTATATTTACAGAAAGACAAAATGTTGCCAGACATTGCTGCTCTCAGATCTCTCATCTAGGATAATTCCCAACCCCTTTGCTTCCGTTCGGTTGCAGAGATGATGAGAGTAGATTTGAATCCTCCTCACGGCTTTAATGAATAAGTTGAGAATGTGAGCCATGCTCGCCCTGTCAACACGAAAGTAATTTTCTGCTGTAGCACGGCTGATCTTTAACAACCAGCACACTCATCTGATAAAACGCTAGCGACAGGTCTCTGGGCTCACAGCTGAAGACACAAACAAACACACGCCCTGCTGTAGCCGTGCAGGAGCCCTGAGTGAACTCAGACAAGCTAGAGCTTCATTAATGTTGAGTTCTGGCCAACGGAAGGCATGCTAGTGAGATGCTGAGAGAAAACCAAGATTCAGACTGTGAGATGGTTCAAGGGTCAGTACAACATTGCTGTCCAGCTCCACCTGCAAAAACTCCCTCAACTCGGGATGTTGACCTATGCTGCTCCTGCGAGTCAGGGTGAGAGCCAGGCTGTGGTCTAGTTAAGCACGGCTCATCCTCCCTCAGCATCTGTAATGATGGAGCTAATGATGGCTGCTGCTAATCTAGATGAGGAATGGCCAGAGCTGAGCTAACCACAAGAGATCTGCACAAGTACAGTCAATGATACCAATGCAGCCAGGTTTGATTGGAGAGAAATACTCTGTAAAGGACTAATAACATTTATATAACGAAGTTCTGGAGGAGCTTCCATATAATCTCCTGGTAACTCCACTTATGAACTCCACTTATGAATAAGTCGAGTGATTTTAGGCCAATTTTAAGGTGTTTTGGGGAGGAGGCTGGAGAGAAGCTCGGACAACGTCAAATGGGAAAAGAAAGGATTGGCTTAATAATTGAAATAAGCTTTATGTAGTAATGGCATTTGAAAATGTAAAATGAATCCTCACTAAGGGGTAGAAGCATTTCTGAATGTCTGGCGCTGGTGGAGTAGCGGTAGATTCTGATGACACATAGATCAGTGAACTGGGTTTGATTACATCCAAAAGCACTTTTTAAACCCTCAATGTTCTTCTATTTCCAGTCAAAATTCAAGTCATATCTAATTGGGGCAGCAAATTAAAAATCAAATGAGATTAAAATCATATTAATGTTGCTTTTATAGTTCTCTGAATCCTTGTTTTATTAAACTAAAAACGGCAAGTTTCAGTTGCCTTTTGCACAACATCTAAACCACTAAGTAAATGTAAAATATTCATTATCTTAATCGTGGCCAGTTGTCGCCTAGTGGATAAGGAGACTGACCGGTGATCAGAAGGTTGCTGGTTGGATCCCCAGCTCCACTGGGAGTTGAAGGTGAGGTGAGTGATGAAACCTCACTCTTTCTCACCGGTGATAACCACAACTGTAGTGGCCTTGAGCAAGTCATGATATCCCCCACTGCTCCCCAGGCTGCCCACCGCTCGTGTGTGTTCAAAATGTTTGTTCACTGCGGTGTGTGGATAGGTTAAATTTAGAGATCAAATTCCTAGTATGGATCACTCCATACCAGGTCGTATTTTTACATTTTTTTCTTTCTATTGTATATAAGCATGTTCTTATCATGTTCTATGTTGACATTTGTTCCAGTTGATATATATATATATATATATATATATATATATATATATATATATATATATATATATCATCTTGTAAGTGAACTTGTGAAATGGTTGCTTAACCCCCAACGAAGGTCATTCGTTTTGATATTTGTGGTTTTAAACGAACACTATAAGAGTTATGACACATAATGTGCAAATTAATTAAAATTAAATTGTGAGAAAATGTGCAATGGTTTTCAGTTTCATTTAACAGACCCTAAATTGATGCCATCAGTGCCATCTAGTGGTTAAAAGTAGGGATAACCATGGGAAGTACAAGACCTGAGATATGGCCCGTGTTTTTCAAAGTTCTGGCACAAACACATGCACAATTCCACAACGAGTGCTTGGAACAATATGCAAGGTTTATGAGAGGTTAGCCTGGTTTTTGAAACCGTTTTCACATTTATTTGACCTTGTCCTTGCTTTTTTAAGGGATTTTTATTATTAATTTTATTATGTCTCAACAATTTGTAATAATCATATTAGCACTTTTTGTACAATTTCAGGTTTGCGTAATATAATGTAAAGATATTTGCAAAAAAAGAACATGGGGTTTTTTAAAGTTAGTTTATTAGAGCAAGTTGTAAAGTATTAAAAAAAAACTCAAAAAGGCCCCAGACTTTTAAGGGTTGAGTAAATAACGTGATGTTCTTCATCAGAAGTTACAAAGATGAATAAAGAAAGGAGAAACAGCATTAAATGTGGCAGGTTCAAGGATACAATGAGAGGAGCAGGTGAACATGGAAAGACTTTCACGACAGTGAAAGAACAGGCAGTAAAGGGAGAGAAAAACGGCTGGAAGTGCATTGATTTTTCTCATCTTGAAGCACTAAACTAGCAGCTAAGTGCCGGAGAAGTGAGCCGCTCAGTGAGCACACCAGCTGCACTCCAGTCCAAATTGATAAATTTCTAGATGCCGTTTCACACTTTATCCTCACTTTATCATCAATTTCCTTTTTGCTATAGGCTTCTGAACAGTGTTATTAGCATACAGGAACACACATGCGACAGGGGGTCTCGAGAGGAGAGAGATAGAGAAGTCAATGGCTGGGGTGTGACTAAAAATAGAATTTCCACAGCAGATTAAATGAAAATAAATAAATGAATAAATCCTATCCAAGTGACTGGCGCTAATGTGATAGGGATCCTCTCTGACAGAAATCAACTTTTAATGAAGAGCCATGTGCTGGGAGAAATTAGCCATTACCCACAGGAGCAGATATTAAAAGTTTATAAACGAGAGTAGTGTTGCCTGTGATAGCTGAGGAAGGGCTGCATCAAGGGAGCACAGGAGATGAACGATGCTTTGGGCCCTTTGGTTGATTTGTTTTTACGTTGTGTCAGTAGAATGTATGACGGGCACCCTACATTCTCCTGATGAGTTCAAATGTGAGCACCCGCCCTGACAAGGCATGCCACAGAAGCCTGTGACAAACATGGCAGAACAAACACACAGTGACGCCCGGACCCCTTCATCACGGCTCTGATCAAATACTCCAGGACATTCAGCCATATGGGACATGGAGATTATTCATAAAATCACAGGCCTACATATGGGCTGCTGGGAGGCAGGACTCTTGAGGTTTGCTTGTGTCACTTGAAGTGACAGTCCAAGGAACAAACCGTGTATAGATAGGGCCGTATATGAGGTTTCACAGAGGATAGTAAGCATTTCTATTAAATCTGGTGCTTAGACAAGCATAATATCCTTATGTTGGGACTGCATTAATGTTTAAACATCATATGAAAGCAATGGAAAAGTCAAAGAGGTCAAGTACCTTAATCATGTGTCGGACGATAAACAACACACTTCTTTATGAACAACACCGAAAACAATGATCTAAAGTTGATTTTATGACGTTCAGCCTCAGTTAAAGTCAGTTTAAGTTCTAGGGGATTATTGGTTCATGGCACAGACTGCAAAAATATGCATCGCCGCATCAAGCAATTACGCAATTTGAGGCCAAAAGATGCAGAACAGGAAGAAGGATGCACATGCTCAGAGATTATGTCAGAGCTCTGCCCCAGAAGTTGGTTTGATCCACTCAGCAGTGCAAACAAGCTGTCAGTCCTGTGGTTACACCTCAATACACACCAAAATTAAGCCTCTGCAAATAATGGAAAAAAAAAACATTTACATTTAAGTATTTGACAGACACTTTTATCCAAAGCAACTTACATTTCAAGAAATTCGCCCATTTATGGGCTCTTGCTTTACTTGTGGTTTCAACCCATGACCCTTGTATGGTTAGGGATGCAATGATCGAATGGCCGAGCCTCAGGAAAACAGTTTATTATATATATATATATATATATATATGTATATAAGGGATGTATGTACAAGGTTGGCCCTTGTAACTTAATTGGACAAGGTGGGGTTTAATTCTACAAGTTTTATATTGAAACTAGATGGCTAAAGTTTGAACACAAACTATGATGTTGGCTTGTAAAAGTGCAGTCTAAAAATATTTTAAATAATGTTATCAATGTAATATAAACCAACCCCCATGTATCCATGACTTTCCTGAGCTGAGATATTGATATGTAAAATAGGTTGTTAGGGTAAACAGTTTGGTTGCTAGGGAGTGGTCAGTGATGTCCTAAAACATTTAATAGTCCCTAAAATAGCAAAAGCTACTTATTATCTCCATGGGAGATGGGGAATGAGCTTAAGTAAAAAATAAATAAAAATAAACAAAAAAAAAAAAAGTGGAGCATAGCTTTAAGATAGATATGCTTTAGATTTACAGGAAATGATTTTACGACCATATACTTGCTGTACAAAAATGGTGAACTACTTTGTAATTATTAATATTTACAGCGATATATAATAAAAATACTCTTAAATCTGTTTTAAAACAAAAAAAAAACAAAGCCTTTAAACACATTTTTAAAAGTCTCAATATATAAAGCAATTTGAAGGGTTCCATCATTTCACAATGGAATGCCGCTTTCGTGCCAGCTCACCTCTATCTATGACCCAGGAAGCACATGGAAAACATTCAGATAAAAAATTTAATAATGGCTTGGGAATCTAAAAATGGTGATCAGCCACTCAGCTGGGCTCTGGTTAAATGAAGATTAAGTTTAAGCTGTTGAGGTGAAGGGCCTGGCGAATTGAGCCTCTGCAAAAACAGAACATTGCACAGAAATAGACATAATCTCACAAAGCCATATTTTCCATGAGAGCAGAATATGTCAACTTGTCGACCATAAGGCGCTGTAAAATCTTTTTGAGCTCTGCTCTTGGCTTTGAGCAGAACCAATTAGCTTTATTTTGGCAACACGCATTCTTAAAAAGCTCGGCTCTTGACTGTTGGCGTAGGAAGCAGTTGTTAGTTTTTCATGCAACTAGGAATTTTTCACTTTTTCTTTTGATCTCTGCTCGAGAGATACACCCATCGACATCCAGTGCATTTGTATTTTAGGATTAGATCTTTCGAATCAAACAAAGCAGTCACTCAAATGAAAAGTGATCAAGAAGGTTTGTTATTGAACATGAATTCAACCTTTGGTAGTTTGATAGCATCATGGAAAGTGAGTAGGAACAACTGTCTTTGTCTCCAAATTGAGATCATTCTTTTCCCTTTTAATGCTGTCTTCTTAAATGCAAGAAATACAATGAAAGGCTGCTTTCGTTAGACTTTGATGAATGAGAGCATCGTAAGCACATTGATCTAAACGTGTTGTTTATTTTCTTCTGTTGAAAAAAGAATAAAAAAACTCACAAAGGTTTGAATCTTCTTGTGGGGTGAATGATTTACTGCAGATATAAAAGATATTTACTTGAATGGATGGCAGGAGGCTCAACAGAGGATTTTCAGCTTTTAGATGAAAACAATATATGCAACAATGATGCACCAGAACAAAGGAAACAACAAATAAAAACAATGACAGTGTAGTTTCGCCACCCCTGTCATTTTTCCCGGTTTTCTTTTATAAATTATTGGACATCTGGATAAGAAAGTTTGGTTAAACTTATCAAACACTGTGATATTTGAGAAGTGAAATTATATGATTCATGGAAAGTGTGCAAGAATTATTAGTCACAGTTTTTTGTTGTTTCTTCATCTTATGCTTCATTTACTTCTCTTTTAATTCTTCTTTTCCTGCATGTTTTGTTGCCTTCTCCTGTATGCACATTCTCACAGGTAGTGTTGTTATCCATCTTCCTTCGTGTTATCTACCTGTAATTTTTCTCAGTGGTTTATTATTAGTTTGATAAGTTCAGTCAGGTTTTTCCCCGTCGTGGAGGGTTGAGTTGTATTTTATGCTCTGTAGCTAAAAGCTTTATTGCACATGAATATATCTCAAGTTATCATGCCATTGCATCCCAGTATTTAAACAAAACTTTTGCAGAAATAACAGCCTCTGAACACTTTCTATAACTTTTAATAAGAGTCTGACTTCTGATTCTTAAGGTATTTTGGACCATTATTCTAACAAAAAAAATCTGCAATTCAGTTTGATGGTTTTTGAACATGGAAACCTACTTTAAATCATACCAGAACTGTTCAATAACATTCAGGTCTAGGGGGCGAGATTTATAAAGTAAAAACATGAAAATGTACAGGGCTGCCAAAACGTTTGCAAAACTTAATCAGTTAAATTACTGAATATTGAATAAGGCCTTGCCCACACGGTGCACAAATATTGTGTCAACACAAAAGAGCAAACCAAATGTCCATAAAACACTGAAAAA